GGGGCTTCTCCTGGCTGGGTAGGGGTGCCAGGCAGGGTGGCGGGGGAGGAGGGGAAATCCCGCGAGCTTCCTCATGAAAAGGATGTACTTGGATCCTTTAACATAGCCACTGCTTTGGGTTTTTTGTTTTTATTTTGGGGGGGGTTAAATAATGTAGGAGTACTGCTATTTGTGTAGCCATTGATTAAGCTGATTGAATTGGGCATGAACTCCACATTACTTTTATTTTATTTTATTGCATCACTGTGAGATAGAATCGCCTAGCTTTCCTGTTTGAGATTCAGCCATACAACGATGGACCACCCATCCCTCCACCAGTGCACATTTTCCACCACCAACCCGTATCCCTCCCCCCCAACACACACACACACACACACACACACCAGTCCTCACCCTTCTCTGTGGCAATTTCCCTAATACTCTTTCTAATTTTGGGCACTATATATATTTCTTTTTTTTTTTTAAACCAGAGAAACCTATGTTAGGTCATGGCAAACATTTTTTTTTTACCTTTTTCTTTTTTTGCTTTTTGGGTCACTCCTGGTGATGCACAGGGGTGACTCCTGGCTCTGCATTCCGGAATCACCCCTGGCGGTGCTCAGGGGACCATATGGGATGCTGGGAATCGAACCTGGGTCGGCAGCATGCAAGGCAAATGCCCTACCCGCTGTGCTCCAGCTGCTGGGCCTTATGTTTTGCTAGAAATTTCCCACCACCATTCAAGCCTACCTGCCGGGCTAGATAATTTGTTTTCCATTCCTTATGTTGAATATCATGAGAGCTTGCAGGGCCGTGATTGTAAAATGTAAATTTCTAGATTGTAGATGGTTGGGTTCCAGAGACTAATCTGTAGGGCACTAACCCATTTTGGGATTCAATAGGGAGTTTCTGGGCCAGGGCTGGACTAAGACGGCACCCGGAGGGAAATTGTGATAGCCATAGCTTTGTACTCTTCTCTCTCAGCTTCCTCTCAGAGCTGAAGTTTCTGAAATTCTGATCCAGTCTAGCTGACCTAGTCTAGACTGTTCGCTTGTGTGCTTTGCCAGCCCAGCGAAGTAATCCCAAGTTTTTGTCCTGACCAGTGCAAAACATACAGCATCTGTAGCCTATGTGTGTACAGGTTATAAATGCCGTCATTGCTTTGAAGGAATGACCTCAGGGGGCCAGAGAGATAGTACAATGGTTAGGGTGCTTGCCTTGCATGTGGCCTGGGTTCCTTCCCTAGCACTGCACTGGTCCCCCAAGCATCGCCAGGAGTGATTCCTGAGTGCACAGCCAGGAGTCACCCCCTGAGCATTGCTGGGTGTGACGCAAAAAGCAAAAAAAAAAAAAAAGTCCCCCGAGCTCTGCCAGATGTGACGCATAACCACCCCCCACACACCCACACACACACAAATCACAATATACACCACCCCTCTGAGCCAAGCTGTCTCCCTGACCAGGACTCAAGCATCTTTTTAGAATGTGCCTAAGTCATCCTGAGCTCTATTTCAGATAGCTTGGCTTTGTAGCATTCTAGCATTGTCCTCCCGTTGTTGCTCGAGCGGGCACCAGTAACGTCTCCATTGTGAGACTTTGTTGTTTCTGTATTTGGTATATCGAATACACCACGGTGAGCTTGCCAGGCTCCGCCGTGCAGGTGAGATGCTCTCAGTAGCTTGCCAGGCTCTTCGAGAGGGACAGAGGAATCGAACCCGGGTTGGTCGCATGCAAGGCAAACACACTACCCGCTGTGCTATTGCTTGGCTTGTATAGGTAAAGGTAAAGGTAAAGGCCCTCCTGTTCGTCGATTTGCTCGAGCGGGCCCAGTAACGTCTCCATTGGAGACTTTGTTACTGTGTTTGGCATATCGAATACGCCACGGGTAGCTTGCCAGGCTCTGCCGTGCGGGCGAGATACTCTCGGTAGCTTGCCGGGCTCTCCGAGAGTGGCGGAGGAATCGAACTCAGGTCGGCCAGATTGGCTGCAGGCAAGGCAAACGCCCTACCGCTGTGCTATCGCTCCAGCCCGCTTGGCTTGTATAGACCAAAGAAAGAAAAAAGAAAAGAAATTGGTGGTGGAGGTGGGGGATGGACACCCTGTGGTGCTCAGGGCTTTCTCCAGGTGCAGGGGATCGAACCAGCATGTGCAAGGCCAGCTTGCCCCTGGCTAGGCCAATCCAGGGGGCTAACTGCTAGCCATGCACAGGGCTCACCCTGAATAGTGTGCTGCCCACTGCACTATTTCTCAGGCACACCTTGCCATCGCCACCCTGTGCTGATGGCCCCTCTCCAGAACCTGCTGGTTCCGCCCAGAGTCCCCCTCAGCTGCCTTTGACTCCCGGTTAGTTCCGCAGCTGGGACTCAAGGTTTCTGTTCCTCTGGGTAAATCCCCACCCCCCACAACACGACACACAGACAGAGAGTCTAGCATCTTTTTTTTTTGGAGGCGGCCGGCGGGGAGGCTTTTTGGGTCACACCCGGCGATGCTCAGGGGTTATTCCTGGCTCTGCACTAAGGAACTACTCCTGGTGGTGCTCGGGGGGACCATATAGGATGCTGGGGATCGAACCCGGGTCGTCTGCGTGCAAAGCAAACATCCTACCCGCTGTGCTACCACTCCATGTACTATCACTCCAGCCCCCTAGCTAGTATCCCTTCTCTCTTTTTTTTTTTTTGTTTGCTTTTTGGGTCACACCCGGAGATGCGCAGTGGTTACTCCTGGCTCTGCCACTCAGGAATTTCTCCTGGCGGTCGGTGGTCAGGGGGACCCTATGGGATGCTGGGGATCGAACCCGGGTCAGTCACATGCAAGGCAAATAGCACCCTCCCCGCTGTGCTATGCTCCAGCCCCCTACCATCCCTTCTCATAATGAGGGTACATTCCCCTCCCTGCGTTCCCCCGCCCCCCTCACTCCCGCTGGGCGGTGCTCAGGGTGCAGACCCGGGCAGGAGCTGCACAGAGCGGGTGCTCTGCCGCGGAGCTCCAGCCAGTTTAATATTATTTTGATGTTCTCCTCGATTGGTAGACTCTCCAGGGCCAGGTTTGTCTCGGACTGCTTTTACATTCCCTCTCGCGGTTTCCAGAGAGCCTCCGCGGAAGGGAATGGGGGGGGGGACTGAGTCATCGAGTTAATGGCTTTTCCAAAATCGCAGCCCAGAACACCAGGTCCTGTGTGCTTGTCCCCAGATAAACTCGGCTCCAGCAGCAGCTAATTTTATTAACCAGATGTACCACAGAAACCGAAGAGACTGGGGGCCCCGAGAGTCAGTGCGGCGGGGAAGGCACTTGCCTTGCACGCCGCAGACGTGGGTTCAATCCCCAGAACCCCTTCTTCTCTTGAGTCTGTTTCAGGATGCCAGCATTTGGGGCCAGAGCGATAGTACAGCGGGTAGGATGCTGGCTTGGCACATAACTAACCTGAGTTTGATCCCCGGCGTCCCCAAGTGCCACCAGGAGTGACCCTTGAGAACAGAGCCAGGAGGAGTAAGCCCCGCGTGCCACCAGGTGTGGCCCAACCCTCTCCTCCCTCAAAAAAAAAACCCCAAAACAGCGTTTTCATAGGGAATGGTTATTGGAGAAAATGTTCAAGAACTTCAGCCCCCTGAGCTGAACCCCAAGTCCAGAGACCTGGAATAGGCCCCAAACACTGCAGGGTGTGCTCAGTTTTTTTTTTTAAGAAAAAGAAAAGAAAGAAAGAGACCTAATATGGTTGTTTTTTCTTTTTTTTCTTCTTTTTGGGTCACACCTGGTGATGCTCGGGGGGGGGGGGGTATTCTTGTGGCTCTGCACTCAGGAATCATTCCTGGCAGTGCTTTGGGGACCCTACTATGGGATGCCAGGGATTGAACCCGGGTTGACTGCATGCAAAGCAAACACCCTCCCTGCTGTACTATCAGGCCGGCCCCAAGACCTAATAAGTTCAATGAGCAAAGAGATTTTTTTTGTTTTGTTTAGGGCCATACCTGGCTCTGCACTCAGGAATTACTTCTGGCGGTGCTCAGAGGGACCTTGTGGAATGCAGGGGATCGAACCCAGGTCTGCCGCATACAAGGCAGACAATGCCTCCCCTTATCGCTCCAGCCCCAGAAAGACTTCCTTCGAGAAGACCCTTTCCCCTTTGGTTGTCTGACGTGATTATAGGCCAACTTATGGCATGAGAAACTTTTCCGAAGCAAAAGATGTTCATACCATAGGTGGTGGACTATTTTTTATTTATTTTATTTATTATTATTATTATTGGGGCTGGAGCGATAGCACAGTGGTAGGGCATTTGCCTTGCACGCAGCCAACATGGCCGACCTGAGTTCGATTCCTCCGCCCCTCTCGGAGAGCCCGGCAAGCTACCGCGAGTATTCGATATGCCAGACACAGTAACAACAAAGTCTCCAATGGAGACGTTACTGGGCCCGCTCGAGCAAATCAGTGAACAATGGGAGGACCGTGACCGTGATTATTATTATTATTATTTTTCCTTTTTGGGTCACACCGGCGATGCTCAGGGGTTACTCCTGGCTTTGCACTCAGGAATTACTCCTGGCGGTGCTCAGGGTACCATATGGGATGCTGAGAATCAAACCCGGGTCAGTCACGTGCAAGGCAAACGCCCTACCCGCTGTGCTATCGCTCCGGCCCCTGGTCTATTTTTTAAAAGTTTGTCCAAATCCTCTAACCCCACAATGCATTTTTATTTTTCTTAATTTTTGAGGGAGAAGGGGTTTGGGCCACACCCTGCAGTGCTCAGGGGTGACTCTGCCCCATGCAAGGTAAGCGCCCTACCCACTCTGCCACCTCTCTGGCCCCCAGTACAGACTTATGTGTTAAAGTGAAAAAGGAGCGCCTGTCAGACCAGGAGCTAAAAGACCCTGGGTCCGTTCCAGCCGTCCCGTGTTAAGGGCTTTTCGAGAATTCCCAACTGGCGTGACCCTGTCGAGTGGGGCCCGTGAGCTCTGCAGAGAGCTGGGGTCGCGGCGACTTGTCGGGTCCCTAATTGACTTTCTCTGCCCCTCCCCCGCTCACAGCTTTCCCCTGGTTCGGCATGGACATCGGGGGGACCTTAGTGAAGCTCTCGTACTTCGAGCCCATCGACATCACGGCCGAGGAGGAACAAGAGGAAGTCGAAAGCCTGAAGAGCATCCGCAAGTACTTGACGTCCAACGTGGCCTACGGGTCCACGGGCATTCGGGACGTGCACCTGGAACTCAAGGACCTGACCCTCTTTGGCCGCCGAGGGAACTTGCACTTTATCCGCTTCCCCACCCAGGACCTGCCCACCTTCATCCAGATGGGGCGCGACAAGAACTTCTCGACCTTACAAACGGTGCTCTGCGCCACGGGGGGCGGCGCGTACAAGTTCGAGAAGGATTTCCGCACGGTAGGTCCCCCGCACCGCCTTCCCGCCTTCCCCGTCCCCACGGCCACGGGTCTCTGGCGCCGATTGCAAGATGGGGGGTGGGGTGGGGCTGGAGCCATAGCACAGCGGGGAGGGCGTTTGCCTTGCACTTGGCCCACCTGGGTTCAATCCCGGGTATCCCAGAGGGTTCCCCCAGCACAGCCAGGAGTGATTCCTGAGTGCAGGAGCCAGGAGGAACCCCTGTGCATCGCCTTTGGTGTGACAAAGAAAGAGAGAGAGAGAGAGAGAGAAAGAAAGAAAGAAAGAGAGAGAGAAAAAGAAAGAAAGAAAGAAAGAAAGAAAGAAACAGCAAGCAAGCAAGCTAGCTTAAGAGAGAAGGGACTGGAGTGACAGTGACGGGGCGTGACAAAGAAAGAAAGAAAGAAAGAAAGAAAGAAAGAAAGAAAGAAAGAAAGAAAGAGAGAAAGAAAGAAAGAAAGAGAGAAAGAAAGAAAGAGAGAAAGAGAGAGAGAAAGAAAGAGAAAAAAAGAGAGAAAGAAAAAAAGAGCAAGTAAGCAAGCTCAAGTGAGAGAGAGAGGGCTGGAGTGACAGTTGCCAGGTGTGACAAGGAAGGAAGGAAGGAAGTTAGTTTGCTCAGGGGGGAGAGAGAGAGGGGTGGGGGGCTGGAGTGACAGTACAGCGGGGAGGCTATTTGCCTTATACGCGGCCAACCCAGGTTCGATCCCCGGCATCCCATAGGGTCCCCCGAGCACCGCCAGGAGTCATTCCTGAGTGCAGAGCCAGGAGGAACCCCTGTGCATCCCTGGGTGTGACCCAAAAAGCAAAAAAAAAAGAGTAGGGCGCAGGGCCCAGCCTGTACCAGCCACCCACATGCTGCCAGGCCAGGCAGGGATCAATCTTGGCAGAGTGGGGGCGGCAGGTAGCAGGACTCTGTGGGTGCCGGGACGAGATTCTGGGCCAGTGGCTTGCAGGCAAGCGATCGACCCCACTGTGCTGTCTCTACAGCCCCCAGGCCTAGTTATGGATTTATTTATTTTTTTGCTTTCTTGGGGGGGTTGCACCCAGCGATGCACAGGGGTTACTCCTGGCTCTGCACTCAGGAATTAACTCCTGGTGGTGCTCAGGGGACCCTGTGGGATGCTGGGGATCGAACCCGGATCTACCGCATGCAAGGCAAATGCCCTACCCACTTGCACTACCAGCACCAGCTCCTTATTTTGTTTTTTTTTTGGGGGGTGGGGGAATCACACCCAGCAGTGTGCAGGGTTTCCTTCTGGCTGTACCCTCAGGAATCATTCCTGGTGGGGGCTGCAGGGACCATCTGGGCTGCTGGGAATCCAACCCGGGTGGCCGTATGCAAGGCAAGCACCCTCCTTCTGTCTGACCACTCCAGCACCCCGTCCCCCCAGTTTTTTGTTTTGTTTTGTTTTGCCTTTTGGGTCACAATACTCAGGGCTGACTCCTGGCTCTGCACTCAGGAGTTACTCCTGGCGGGGATTGGGGGGACCCTATGGGATGCCAGGGGATAGAACCCAGGTGGCCTCATTCGAGGCAAATGCCCTACCCTCTGGACTATGGCTCTGGTCCCCCCCTTTTTAACAATTATTGTAAATAAGGGCTGGAGCGAGATAGCACAGCAGGGAGGGCATTTGCCTTGCTCGTGGCCGACCTGGCCGACCCGGGTTCGATTCCTCCGCCCCTCTCGGAGAGCCCGGCAAGCCACTGAGAGTATCCCGCACGCACGGCAGAGCCTGGCAAGCTCCCCGTGACGTACTCGATATGCCAGACACAGTAACAACAAAGTCTCCAATGGAGACGTTACTGGGCCCGCTCGAGCAAATCGATGAACAGTGGGAGGACAGTGCTACAGTGCTATTATAAATTAAAAAGTGCTCATAAGACTCAGGGACCACTTCCAGTGACACTCTGCTAACCAGTCCTGAGGGTTCAATTTAGGGCCTAGTTGGTTGGCTCTGCTCAGACCCACTGCTTCTGGGGCCTTTGGGTTTGTGCCCATTGGTGGGGGGGAGGGCGGGGAGTTGTTTGCAGAGCCAGGGATTAAGTTTAAGGGCTGTGCCCCCTGTTGGCAGGGTAACAGAAGGTCTGAAAGTTAACTGCTGTTTTTTAATGGAGAAGACTGATATGAATATAGTGTATTGTGTCATTGGGATAGAATATTTTTTTTGTGGGGGGTCACACCGATGATGCTCAGGGGTTACTTCTGGCTCTGCACTCAGGAATTACTCCTGGCGGTACACGGGGGACCCTATGGGATGCTGGAAATTGAACCTTTGTCGGCCGCGTGCAAGACGAAACACCCTACCAAGTGCTCCTAGCTCCGTGCTGGGGCTCAAACCCAGCACCACCTCCTCTCTGGCCCAAATCTCTGTGTCCCAGCACCACCTCCTCTCTCTGGCCCAAATCTCTGTTTGTGTGTGTGTGTGTGTGTGTGTGTGTATGTGTGTTGTCTGGTGGTGCTCAGAGCTTAATCCTGACTCTGGGCTCAGGGGACCACTGTGGGGTCCCTGGGATGGGACCCTGCCGTCCAATCTCTCCGGCCTGATCCAAATCTTATTCGTTCCATCTTGACCTTGGACCATTGCCACTGGGCTACTCCTGGTCTGGTGCTCAGAGGAGCAGGCAGTTCTGGGGCTGTGCTCAGCCCGCTGGGCTTCTCTCCAGCTGATACCCGAGCTTGCACCGGAAGTTGGTTTGGGGGCGGTTTGGGGGTTTTCTTCTGCTGTACCGAGGATTAAACCCAAGACCTCATATATGCGCACATAGGCAAGTGCTCTATTGCTGAGCACGCTCTCTCTCTCTCTCTCTCTCTCTCTCTCTCTCTCTTCCCCCCTCCTCTGTCTCTCTCCTCTCCCTCCCCTTTCTCTGTTCTCTCTCTCCCCCTCTCCTTTCCTTTCTCTCCTCTCTTTCCCTCTCTCCTTCTCTCCCCTTTTTCCCCCTGTCTTCTCTCCTCTCCTCTCTCTCTCTCTCTCTCTCTCTCCCCCCCAAACATAAGAAATATTTAAGGGGCTGGACCCTGGTCTGATCCCCAGCATCACATGTGGTCCGCCAGCACTGCTGGGAGTGATCTCTGAGCACCCTGGGGCGTGGCCCCAAATCAAACAATGTTTGAAGGCTGCTGGAGACTATGGCGAGTAGATCACTTGCCTTGCACGCTGCCAGCTCCGTTTCAGTCCCCAGCACCCATCGGGAGTGGAGAGCCTTGAAGACAGAGGAGCCAGGAGTGAGCCCTGAGCATAGCCGGGAGTGACCCAAACAATCAAACACCAAGCGATACTGAACCACACACCCCACCCATACTCCAGTGTTACCACACCAGGGTTCAAAAAGTAGGAGGTAACCAATCTTAGAGGGATTTTTCTATATATATATATATTTTTTTACAGATATATATATGTATGTATGAAAAAAAAAGCACACAAGGCTCAACCTTTAACAACACGTTAGTGATCTATAGATGGGCTTAATGGCCCCCGGGTGAAACACAACAACCTCCACACTCTTTCCTCTAAGGATTCTTTTTTGTAGCATTTTCAGTGGTTTTTTTCATAACAAACAATAGAAAATGCGTTGTTTTGGTTCTGGTTTGGGGCAGGGATTGGGGTTTGGGATGGAACCATCTGAAATATGGTGGTGGGATTGGTGTTTGAATATTAACTGTGAAGAAATGTTGTGAACTACTTACTTAAAAAAATTTTATAATAACAAAAAAATGTGATTTGGGGGCCAGCAAGATAGTGCGGGGGGTTAAGGCGTAGGCCTTGCAAGCCGCCAATCACAGTTGGGTTCCTGGCACTGCCAGGAATGATCTGTGAGCATAGAGCTAGGAGTCAGCCCGGCGAGCACAGCTGGGTATGGCCGGAACAACCAAAAAATATTTTAAGTGTGAAAATGAATTTTAATCATCCTGTCCTCACTTGCGAGCTATAAAGATAGGAATTCTCCGGTACGGTAAGAAAAGGCACCTCAGAGGGGCTGGAGCGATAGTACAGCGGGTAGGGCGTTTGCCTTGCACGCAGCCGACCTGGGTTCGATTCCCAGCATCCCATATGGTCCCCCGAGCACCACCAGGAGTAATTCCTGAGTGCACAAGCCAGGAGTAACCCCTGTGCATCGCCGGGTGTGACCCAAAAAGGGAAAAAAAAAAAAGGCATCACAGAGCACTGGCAAGGACGTGTCGGCTGGTCGAACGTGTCACCAGCGAATGTAGTGGTGTAAGTGAAGCCGTAATTATGTGGGTAATACAGCTTTCCGAGAAGCTAAACAGGTCAAGGCCTCAACATTAAAAAAACTTTGACTCTGGAGCAATAGTACGGTGGAGAGTGCGTGTGCCTTGCATGTGGCCGACCCAGGTTCAATTCCCAGCATCCCCTAGGGTCCTCTGAGCACCACCAGGAGGAATTCCTGAGTGCAGAGCCAGGAGGAACCCCTGTGCATCACCAGGTGTGACCCTCCCCCTTCTCCCCAAAGGAAAAAGAATCCCTGGGGAGAAAGAACATAGACAGGTGCTAATTCTCTGCTTTCACTCTCTGTCTGGTGTCCCTGGTCCCCTGTGATCCCAAGGCTGGCCCTTCCCTCATCCTCACGGGTGTGAAAATTAAAGCGCCATCCTACATCTCCAGAACGCTCCCTAGGCTCGGACCCCCGCCTCAGAGAGCTGGCACAGACCAAAGGGTCCAAAGCCAGCTGGCCCGGGCGCCGGGGTGTGTCCCAGGGACTCTGCCCTCCACTTCTGCTCTCAGTGCATGGGTGGCGGTGGTCGATAAGGGGACGGGAGAGGGAGTGTCGTGGGTTCGAGAGCACTTTTTTTGTTTATTTTTTTAATTTTTATTAGTGAGACACCATGAGGTACAGTTGTAGACTTAGAATCTTTTGTGCTTGGGTTTCAGTTATACAATGATCAAATACCCATCCCTCCACCAGTGCCCATTTCCCACCACCACGGATCCCAGTATCTCTCCCACCCCCCATACCACCCTGCCTTTGTGGCAGGGCATTCCCTTTTGTTCTCTCTCTCTTATTGGGTGTTGTGGTTTGCAAAAGAGGCAATGGGTGACAATCATGTTTGGTCTATAGTCTACTTTCAGCATGCTTCTCCCATCCTGGGAGGATCCTCCCAACACCCTTTACTTGGTGTTCCCTTCTCTATCTGAGCTCCCTTTTCCCCTAGCATGTGTGGTTGGCCTCCAAGCCATGGAATAAAATTCTGGTACTAATCTCGGCCATTCTTGGGTGTTAGTCTCCTATTTTGTTACTTTATGTTCCCCAGATGAATGCAACATTTCTATGTCTATCTCTTTCTTTCTGAGTCAGTTTGCTTAACATGATACTTTCCATGTGGTACCACTTGTTCCTAAATTTCATGACTTCTGTCTTTTCTAACAGCTACATAGTACTCCATTGTGTAGATGTACCAACAAGTTTCTTTAACCAGTCATCTGTTCTTGGGCACTCAGGTTTTTTCCAGATTCTGGCTATTGTAAAGAGGAGAGAACGTTTTTGTCTGCAGGAAGCCAGGGTTTGCTGGGGGCGGGCATGACGGGCCGGCTTTGGTATTTTGTCCCCGAACAGATCGGAAACCTCCACCTGCACAAACTGGACGAACTTGACTGCCTGGTCACGGGCCTCTTGTACATAGACTCTGTCAGCTTCAACGGCCAGGCCGAGTGCTATTACTTCGCCAACGCCTCAGAGCCCGAGCGCTGCCAAAAGATGCCTTTCACCCTGGACGACCCCTACCCGCTGCTGGTGGTGAACATCGGCTCGGGAGTCAGTATTCTCGCCGTGCATTCCAAAGACAACTACAAACGTGTCACCGGGACCAGGTAGGTAGTCGGCCGCCCTTCCCCCACCCCACACCCCGACCTCCACACCCGCCCACCGCGATGCTCCTCTGGGTCCACACAGGAGCGATGGGACAGCTCGGGCGTGGCCACCCCAGGCTCCATCCCCCGCATCCCTTCAGGTCCCCGGAGCACAGAATCAGGAGTAAACTCTGAACGTCGCCGGGTGTGAGCCAAGAAGCCCCCTCCCCACGCTCCTCACCCAAAAGAAGGAAGTTATGAGATGACTGCATTAAATGAATATTGGGGCCGGAGCAATAGCACAGCGGGGAGGGCATTTGCCTTGCACGCGGCCGACCCGGGTTCGATTCCCCAGCATTACCATATGTTCGCCCAAGAACCGCCAGGAGTCATTTCTGAGTGCAGAGCCAGGAGGAACCCCACTGCATCGCTGGGTGTGACCCAAAAAGAAAAAAATTAAAAAATGCATATTTCATTTTCAGGCCACTAAAAACAATAAATAAACAAAAGATGAAGAAATTGGGATAGGAAGTACGAGTACCGTTAGTTGTCCTTTAGGGGAGGTCTGTCCTGTTTTTTTTTTTATTAGCTTTTTGGGGTCAGACTCAGCGACACTCAGGGTTCCTCCTGGCTCTGCACTCAGGAATTACTCCTGGCGGTGCTCAGGGGACCCTATGGGATGCTGGGGATCGACCCGGGTCAGCCGCGTGCAAGGCGAACGCCCTCCCCGCTGTGCTATCGCTCCAGCCCCTGGATTCGATTTCTGGCACCATCCCTCCACCCCCGTCTTCCCCCCCAAAAAATAAAAAGCATAGATATATGGGTATGAAAGTGCTTCAGATAGAATTTTCTAAGGCTCGTGTATGTCAGGACTCGACAGAATCATAAAGTATTTATATTGGTTTTACATTAGGCCAGGGATTAAAAACCATGAGGTATAAACTATAATACTGAGTTGTATCCCCAATTCGAAATTCCCCTAACCATAGCGTGTATTCTTTATGTGGAATGATTTCCAGTACCTTCTTAGCCAGTTGGGAAAAAACAGTTTTCTTCTGTTCCCCCACCACCCCTGTTGTGGGTTTTTTTTTTTTTTGAGGTGGGGGTCTCCCTTTGAGGGTCTGTTGGACAACCATGTGGTGCTGGGGAGGGGGTCAGGCATGGGTAACTGCACAGTTCGGCCCCTGATCCATCATCTCTGTCTGGGGCTCACCCTTATTCTCCTCTTCCATATTCATTTTTCTTTCTTTTTTTGGGTCACACCCAGTGATTCACAAGGGTTACTTTCTCCTTGCTCATGCACTCAGGAATCACTCCTGGCTCGGGGGACCCTAGGGGATGCTGGGAATCGAACCTGGGTCAGCTGTGTGCAAGGCAAACACTCTACCTGCTGTGGTATCGCTCCAGCCCCTCCTCTTCCATATTCATAGGGTACAGGTTCACATTGCTTTTCACGTGCAGAGAAAGGGTTTTTTTTTCTATTTAAGCGATCTCCAGGTACTAAGGCAGCAGGAGAGATACTAGAAGAGAAGGAAGAGTTCCTGCCCGCTCCTTCTCCACCCCATAGGCTCATCTGCCGCCTAGCTTGGTCTTGCTGAGGATTTTTCTCTGCTCCATAATGCTAATAATAGTGGGCTGGAGCAATAGTCCAGTGGGGAGTGCGTTTGCCTTGCACTCGGCCGACCTGGGTTCGATCCCCGGCATCCCAATTGGTCCCCCAAGCACTGCCAGGAGTGACCCCTGAGTGTCACGGAGTGTGACCCAAAAAGGAAAAAAAAAGCCAACCATAATGCTAATAATAGTTCAGCAGTTGGTATCAGCCCTGTGCTGCGTGTGTGTCTGATGCTTTCATTTGCTCCGGGGGGAGAAACAGTGTGACGAGTCCATTTTCTTTATCTCCTCCAGCCTGGGTGGCGGTACCTTCCTGGGTTTATGCAGTTTATTGACTGGCTGTGAAAGTTTTGAAGAGGCGCTTGAAATGGCATCCAAAGGGGACAGCACGCAGGCGGACAAGCTGGTCCGGGATATCTACGGGGGAGATTATGAGCGATTCGGGCTGCCGGGCTGGGCCGTTGCATCCAGGTAAGTTGGGCTGTCTGAGACCTAGTGAAACCTGCTCATCGAGCTTTGTGGTGGGGAAGCTTTGATATTCCAGCTGGAACTTCCAAGTTTGGAACATTATGTTTCAAAATTAGGTATGGTTGAAAGAAATTAAAGAAAAAAAAACAATGTCGACCTCGAGTAGACATTCTTTTGGAAACCACTTTTTTACTTTATTTATTTTGCTTTTTGGGTCACACCCGGCAATGCACAGGGGTTACTCCTGGCTCATACACTCAGGAATTACTACTCCAGGAGGTGCTCTGGGGCGCCCAATGAGATGCTGGGGATCGAACACGGGTCGGCCGCATGCAAGGCAAACGCCCCACCTGCTGTGCTGTCACTCCAGCCCCACTTTTATTAATTCTTGAGTGACCCTTTCTATCCCCCTAAAGATACTAATGTAGATTCTTATCTTCACCTTCTTGGGGAAGCGATGTAGTTCTATATCTTGATATTACATAATGTATATAGTCTTCATTATGTCCCAATCTCTGCCTCTCTCCCTGCCCCCTGTTCCCTCTGGTTGTTCCCTCTCTCTCTTCTCTCCTTTCTCTCACCCCTTCCTGTTTTGTTTTTTTTTGGGGGGGGGTCACACCCTGTGATGCACGGGGGTTCCTCCTAGCTCTGCACTCAGGAATGACTCCTGGCAGTGCTCGGGGGACCCTATGGAATGCTGGGAATCGAACCCGGGTCATCTGCAGGCAAGGCAAACGCCCTCCCCGCTGTGCCATCGCTCCAGCCCCTCTTCTCTCCTTTTAAATATTCGTCTCTGTCCAGTCCCACTGGCCAGTGCGTAATCTCTCTTTACCTGCTCTGTTTTGTCTATGTGCCGAGCTGTCTCTAGGATAAATTTACCCCACCTGTGAAATGTTTGCAGATTTGATTTTTCGTCTTTCTGTTTCTCTCCAGTTTTGGAAATATGATTTATAAGGAGAAGCGAGAAACTGTCAGTAAAGAAGATCTCGCAAGAGCTACTTTAGTTACTATCACCAATAACATCGGCTCTGTGGCACGGATGTGCGCTGTTAACGAGGTAAAAATCACCTGAGAAATATATATATCTCTGTATTTTTTAATTTCTTATTAAAATTTTTTTGATGATTTATGTTCACATAGCTGAGCCTTTCCTGTTCCCTAAACAGCCCTAGGACCAAATCCCCTAATTCATTAAATTGCAAGTTTCATTCAGAGTGTACAGGTCATGTTTCTAATTATTGTAAGATCACTTTTACTTTTTTTTTTTTGGCTCTTTGGGTCACACCCTGCAATGTTCGGGGTTATTGCTGGCTCATGCACTCAGGAATTACTCCTGGCGGTGCTCAGGGGACCCTGTGGGATGCTGGGAATCGAACCCAGGTCGCCGCATGCAAGGCAAAGACCCTCCCAGCTGTACTATCGCTCCAGCCCTGTGAGATCACCGTAAAAGCAGCCGATAGTTCACATCAGAAACAGGACCAATATGTCCCGTGTCGTGTTCACCCGGGACCCCTTCCAAACGTGTAGTCTCCAGGTCTCTTCAAGAGAGAAAATGATTCTGGACCTGACTCCGCTCGCAGGCCCCGGGTGGGAGAAAGTCGGCGGCGCTCATGGCCTGGCGGGCGAAGGCCGGGGGGGTTTCCTCAGCTGCCTTCGGCTTCTTTACAGTGCTGCCTTGTTGCATATGGATCAAGCAGCATTGTACAGGGCTATGAAGGCACTGGGAGCTGTCGTCACCGCGGACCGGGGCAGGCGCTCAGAAACGCCTTTACCAGGAGGGGTGGGGGGAAGGGTCTGTGCCTTCCTGTGAATAGATTTATGTGCCTGTGGATTTTCATGCATGTCAAACCCTTTCAGCGACTCGGAAAGTTGGCATCGTTGAGTTTGGGGGGCTGGGGTCACACCTGGTGATATTAATATGCCCCCCTGGGATATTAATGCGTGAAGGCAAGCCTGCTTTTAGCTCTTGATGGTATCACCTGGGCCCAAAGGAAGTTCGCTTTATTTATTTATTTTTAATTTGCTTTTTGGGTTCCACCCGGCGGGGTTACTCCTGGCTCATGCACTCAGGAATTGCACTCCTGGCGGTGCTCGGGGCACCCTCTGGGATGCTGGGAATCGAACCCAGGTTGGCCGCGTGCAAGGCCATGGCCCTCCCTGCTGTGCTATCGCTCCAGCCCCGAAGTTTGCTTTTTAAAGGAAGGGTTCGTTGTTCCTTCATTGCAGCACCAGCGCTTGGGATCTGTTAAGGAAGGCAGCACGTCCCTGGCTTGGACTTCGCTCAGGGCACCCTATGGGATGCCAGGGGTCCAATCCAGGCCAGCTGGGTGCAAGGCAGGTGTCTTACCTGCTCTACTTTCTCTCTCTGACTCTGGAAATGTTTTTGAAGGGCTGGGGGTGGGGTGGAGTTTTGGGTCACATCCTGCAATGTTCTCAGCGCGGACTCCTGGCTCTGAACTCAGAAATTACTCCTGGCAGTGCTCAGGGGACCCTATGGGATGCCGGGGATCAATCCAGGACCAGTCATGAGCAAGACAAGCGCTCTTCTATAGCTCTGGCCCCCGAGAAGCTGTTGCTTTTAATTTTTACTTTGGGGGGGGGATCACACCTGACAGTGCTCAGGGTTTACTCCTGGCGGTGTTCAGGGGACCATATGGGGTACCGGGGTTCAAACCCGAGTCGGCCATGTGTAAGGCAAATGCCCTCCCTGCTGACCGCCCCTCCCCTCTCCCAAAAAGCAAATTTTTAAAGGATAAGAATAAAAGCAGATTCAGAGCAGTAGTTCCATGGGCTGAGCGCATGGCTGGCGTTTGGGTGGGCCTGGGTTTCGTCCCCTGAACCACAGGGTCTGCCAGCACCACTGCCCAGGGCCCCTAAATAAAAACAAACTGAGGCTAGACCAGAGGGTGTTAGCAGTGACATGCCAGGCCCTTGCATGGCAAAGACTGGACGCCTAGACCCGGGGAGGGAGGCAGGAGAAGCAATGTTCCGGCAGAGACACCAGCTGTGCAGAGACCTGGTTTCATCCTCCGGGTAAATAATTTCTTTGAGGGGGGTGGGCAAGACCACTCCTGTCACTGCTGTAATTCCCTGACCCCGCAGTGCTAAGGGGGCCCCATTTAGGGGACCAGGTGATGCCCGGGATTGTACGTGGGGTCTCCATGTGCAAGGCATAGGCTCTCTTCAGCCCTTGGAAATATCTCCCTGGCCCTTCAATTTAAATATATGTATATATATACACACATATAATATTATTTTTTTTGTTCTTGGGGCTGGAGCAATAGCACAGCGGGTAGGGCATTTGCTTTGCACGCGGCCGATCTGGGTTCAATTCCTCCGTCCCTCTCGGAGAGCTCGGCAAGCTCCCGCAAGTATCCTGCCCGCATGGCAAAGCCTGGCAAGCTACCTGTGACGTATTTGATATGCCAAAAACAGTAACAACAAGTCTCACTATTTGTTGTGAGACGTTACTGGTGCCTGCTCGAGCAAATCGATGAACAACGGGAGGACAGTGCTAGTTTTGTTCTTGGCAGGGCTGGGAGTTGGGTTTGGCCCCTCCCAGCTCTGTGCTCAGGGGCGCTCACTGGATCTGCTCCAGACAGGGACCCCCCTCCCCGTGCCCCCCACTCCTGGCGGTGCTTGGGGTCCATACGGGATTCGAACTGGAGTTATGTGGGTGCAAGTGAGGCGCCTTGGTCCCTGTGTTCTCTCTTCGACCCTCTCAATCATGTCCTAGAACATTTGATTTTTTTTTTTTTACATAAAGGTAAAGGTAAAGGCCCTCCCGTTGATCGTCGATTTGCTCGAGCGGGCCCAGTAACGTCTCCATTGGAGACTTTGTTGTTACTGTGTCTGGCATATCGAATACTCTCGGTAGCTTGCCGGGCTCTCCGAGAGGGGCGGAGGAATCGAACCTGGGTCGGCCATGTTGGCCGCTTGTAAGGCGAACGCCCTACCCGTTGTGCTATCGCTCCAGCTCCTTTTTTTTGGGGGGGCGGGGACCAGCAGGGCTTAAGGGACTGACCGTTGCCATGTCAGACCCAAACCTGCCTGGTGGTAGGTCTCTTCAGCGCTAACGTGAACTGGACCGAGAACAGGTTTAGATTCACCGTAAAGTGGTGTGGAAAGTACGGGGAGTTGCCCTGTATCCCCGCCCTCCTCCCCTAGGTACAGCCAACACCCAATGGACTGGCCACCCACATCACTAGCTCAGGACCACCCCAAAGCTCAGCACTCAGCCTTACTCCATCTCCACTGGGATATGGTTTTTTTCCCCTTGGTCTTTTGTTCTTTTGGGGTCACACCCGGCGATGTGCAGGGCTGACTCCTGGATGCATGCTCGACCCTCAGAACCGCATCCCTGCCTTGTGGTGTGTTCTTTTATTTTTCTTGTTATTATTATTTTTTTTGCTTTTTGGGTTATACCCGGTGATGCACAGAGGTTCCTCCTGGCTCTGCACTCAGGGATCAGTCCTGGCGGTGCTCGGGGGACCCTGTGGGATGTTGGGAATTGAACCCGGGTCAGCCGCATGCAAGGCACACACCTTCCCCGCCATGCTATTGCTTCAGTCGCCTGGGTCCGTGCTTATTCTAGTGAACATGTAACGATCACTTCTGAAACGAGTTCTCAGCCGTGGCATTATAAAGGTCTATGCCAGGAATACAATAAGACCCGGAGTCACACACCCTCAACCCTTGCCTTGACTTTAGCCCCCTCCAATCCCACCCCAAACCACTCCCCTCCCCCCCCAAAAAAAACCCACCAAAACTTTGGCGGTACTTGCATTCTCAAGTGGAGAGTTTGTAAGTTGCTCCTTTTAAAAATCACTTCCTTGGTTCTTCTCTTTTTAGAAAATAAACAGAGTTGTCTTCGTGGGGAACTTCTTACGGGTCAACACGCTCTCCATGAAACTTCTGGCCTACGCACTGGATTACTGGTCAAAAGGCCAGCTCAAAGCCCTGTTTCTGGAGCATGAGGTACGGCAAGAGAAAAACTGTCTTGCGCATTTTTAACAGCGAGCCTTTATGTGGAGGCGCCTTGGGGATAAGGGTGGGTGGGTGGGTGGGTGGGTGGGCACATCTGATGATGTTCGGGAATCATGCAGAGCTGGTGATCGAACCCAGGGTTCCCACGTGCAAACCTGCCTGTACTGTGCTTATAAAATTACACTTGCAGGGGCTGGAGCGATAGCACAGCGGGTAGGGCGTTTGCCTTGCACGCGGCCAACCCGGGTTCGATTCCCAGCATCCCGTATGGTCCCCTGAGCACCGCCAGGAGTAATTCCTGAGTGCAGAGCCAGGAGGAACCCCTGTGTATCACTGGGTGTGACCCAAAAACCAAACAAACAAACAAAAAGATTGCACTTGCAGGGCTGGACCGATAGTCCAGCGGGGAGGGTGTTTGCGTTGCGCAGCTGACCCAGATTCGATTCCCAGCATCCCACAGGGTCCCCTGAGAACCGCCAGGAGTGATCCCTGAGAGCAGAGCCAGGTGTAACCCCTGTGCATTACCGGGTATGACCCGAAAAGAAAAAATAAATGAATAATAATAAAGGTAAAGGCCCTCCCGTTGATCGTCGATTTGCTCGAGCGGGCCCAGTAACGTCTTTGTTGTTACTGTGTCTGGCATATCGAATACTCGGTAGCTTGCCGGGCTCTCCGAGAGGGGCGGAGGAATTGAACTCGGGTCGGCCATGTTGGCCGCTTGTAAGGCGAACGCCCTACCCGCTGTGCTATCGCTCCAGCCCAAATGAATAATAATAAATAAATAAAATTACACTTGGCCTCCTACGTTGACCCCTGGGGACCGAGAAGATAGCGCCGGACTCTGGGTGTGCACCCAAGCTGACTGCAAGGCCCCTCTGAGTAGCAGTGGGGCTGGCCCCCGGGACCCCAGTTCCTGCTTGAGCCCCTCTGATTCCCTCCCCAAAATAAATGTATACCCTCTGACTTTCCGTTGGGGGAACCGGGATGCCTTTGGCCTGGCAGGCGTCCCATGAAGAAGGGAATCTCAGGGCCTGGAGCGAGAGGACAGCGGGTAGAATGCTCGCCTTGCAGCCAGCCTGGGTTTGATCCCCACCACCCCATAGGGTCCCCTGAGCCCGCCGGGGAGTGATCCTGAGCCCTACACCAAGACTAAGCCCTGAGCACTGCAACAACTGTCACGGTCACTGTCCTCCCATTGTTCATTGATTTGCTCTAGCGGGCCTAGTAATGTCTCCATTGTGAGACTTGTTACTGGCATATCGAATACGTCGTGCGGAGCTTGCCAGGCTCTGCCATGTGGGCGGGATACTCTCGGTAGCTTGCTGGGCTCTCCGAGAGGGACGGAGGAATCGAACCCGGGTTGGCCGTGTACAAGGCAAATGCCCTACCCGCTGTACTATCGCTCCAGCACTGCAACAACAAAAATTTAAAAAAATGAAACCAACCAATCAAACGAACAAACTTAGCGCCCTCCTCAGGAGAGGAAGCAGAGTCCACGACCCCCGGTAGCACTATGGAGACACTTGCTCCCTCCAGATGAGCCGTTTCCTTACCAACTGCCGGTGCCGTCCTGGCCGCTACCTGGACCAGAGCCATGGCACAGGCAAACCAGAGGGGTGAGGGCCCCGGAATTCCCCAGCAGCCCCAGATGCTGTAGGTCTGAAAGCCGCGTGTACAGACCGTGTCCCGGGCTGCAGAGATGCCTCCAAGGGCTGAGCACTGCAGGGCCCCAAGCCACACCCCACCCCCATCCCTGGTAGTCCAAACACACACCCCCAAATGTATATCCCTAAGGTGTAGTTTAAGAAAACAGTACCACTCCTCGCTCAGTCTGGGGGGTCACACCTGGTGGGTGCTTAAGGGACCAGATGCATACGGGGTCAGGGATGGGGCCCCGCCCTCCCACATACAGAGATGCTCTCAGCCCACCGAGCGCCCTTTCAGACTCCCAAAATGGTATTTAAAAATAAAGAGGTGCAGGGCTGGAGCGATAGCACAGCAGGTAGGGCCTCTGCCTTGCACGCGGCCGACCTGGATTCGATTCCTCCGGCCCTCTCGGAGAGCCCGGCAAGCTACTGGGAGTATTCTGCCCACCCGGCAGAGCCTGGCAAGCTCCCCGTGGCGTATTCGATATGCCAGAAGCAGTAACAAGTCTCACAGTGAGACATGACTGGTGCCCGCTCGGGCAAATCGATGAATAATGGGAGCGACAGTGCTATAGTGCTACGGCTGACCCGGGTTCAATTCCCGGCATCCCATAGTGTCCCCCCGAGCACCGCCAGGAGTATTTCCTCAGTGCAGAGCCAGGAGTCACCCCTGTGCATTGCCAAGTGTGACCCAAAAAAGAAAATAATAAATAAATACATAAATAAATAGGGGCTGGAGAGAGCCTAGCAGGGAGGGCGCTTGCTGCACAGACAGGAAACCTGAGTTCGTTCCCTGGCATCCCAGGGCATCTCGGGGACGTACCAGGAGTGGTTCCTGAGAACAGAGCCCAAAGTAATGTACCCCTGAGCTTTGCCAGGTGTGACCACCCCCCCAAAACAATAAGTGAAAATAGATTGGTCACATAAATGTGCTTTTATAGCGATGGGTTGCGTTCACCTAATTTCAGAGATGTAGCCCTGGTTGTGTTTTGCTTTGTCTTGTTTTGTCTTTTTGGGTTACACCCAGCGATGCACAGGGGTGACTCCTGGCTCTGCACTCGGGGATTAGTCCTGCTGGTGCTTGGGGGGGACCCTATGAGATGCTGGGAATCGAACCCGGGCCGGCCACCTGCAAGGCAAACGCCCTCCCCGCTGTGCCATGGCTCCAGTCCCAAGATGCTACCACATTAATCGTTCTTTCAACCTCACGCAGGGCTACTTTGGAGCAGTGGGTGCCCTTCTCGGACTGCCGAATTTCAGCTGAAGCATCCGACTTCTGCTGCTAGATCCGGCTCAAGAGGAAGTGACAGCCAGGGGCGTCACAACCGCATTATTTGTCACTGGGAACCAAAGGATTAAAAACAAAAAAAGAGTGATTGATTTTTTACAATGTCCGAATGGTAAGCTGCTAACCCGCCATGCTCGGAGAGAGCACTGTACCGTGGAGTCTCTCTGCCCGAGATGCTTCCCCCGAGGCGTGCGTGCGCTCAGAGCCGAACCCCTTCGATGCAATACGGCCTCTGATGGCGCAGTTTCCTCTCCGGAAGGTTTTCTATGTATTTCCCGTAGCCAGCATTTCAGTACTGTACGCTAAACAAATCTTCTAAGAGTCTTTTTTTAAGTTCATGAGAACGATTGATTTCTGAGTATTTGTCCCACGTCTGTTCTCCGTGAGTAACGGTCACTCAGGAACAGATGGTATCCCGCCCCGAGGAAAGCTTCATGAAAATGGCAATCAAACAAAGATGATCGTGTTTATGTGATTTTTTTTTTTTAGAAGCGTGAAGGCAATATTACTATTATAGCTTTCCTCTCACCTCGCCAAGAGCACGTGTATGTGATCTTTTCTCACTCTTTTAAGTGTGCAACTTTTCCGAAAGGCCACGGTTCCTTCACACGACGTTAAGTATCCTAATTGAAAATGGAATTCTAGGGGCTGGAGCAATAGCACAGCGGGTAGGGCGTTTGCCTTGCACGCGGCTGACCCGGGTTCAATTCCCAGCATCCCATATGGTCCCCTGAGCACCGCCGGGGGTAATTCCTGAGTCCAGAGCCAGGAGTAACCCCTGTGCATCGCCGGGTGTGACCCAAAAAGCAAAAAAAATAAAATAAAATGGAATTCTAGAAAATACACACATGTGGAAACATTGCACTTTCCAGAGAGAGAGAATGCATTGTGAGATTTTTTTTTTTAAAAAAAAAACAATTTTGGCTTATTTAAAAGTCCACTCAATGAGATGCTTAGATTATTCTCTCCCCCCCAGTCCCTTCCTGGTTCTGAGGGTTGAACCCAGAGCCTTGAGCATCCAAGGCAGGTGCTCTGCGCCGAGCCAGACCCTCAGCCCTTAGGAAGCATATTCTACTAGAATATGGTCCTGAGTGCATCGGGAGGGTCCCGGGTTCTTTCTCTGCCATATTTAACTCAGGCCCAAACTTAAGTTATTTCTCTTCAGTTAGGCCAAGCCTGTTCAGACTACAGATGTTATTGTATTATGGAGAAAAAAAAATCACATTTATCATAGACATGTTATGGATATCCCAAAGATGATGTGCTGTGACATTCTGTGAGCCTGAGGCAATATTGAAGAACCTCACAAGGGTCATTGTTCACTACATTCCGGTTGTAAAACCAGAGAGTTCCAGAATGCCTCCATCTTGGGTCATGGAACCGTTTGAGAAGCTGGGGCCAGAGCGATCGCACAGCGGGGAGGGCACTTTGCACGCGGCCGACTTGAGTTCGATCCCCAGCATCCCATAGGGTGTGCCAGGAGGGATTCCTGAGTGTAGAGCCAGGAAGAACCCCTGAGCATCACCGAGTGTGACCCAAAAAGCCAAAAAAAAAAGTTATTAAAATGTCCTACACTTTTCTAAGTTTTACATTGGCAGTCGTATATTGGAGGCCCAACAATTCAGCCAGATTATTCAAGGCGTATTGTTTGGGGAATAAAAAGGCTTGAGAAGCAATTTGTCTCTTTAAAAAATCTCACAAAAACTGGATCTGCTTCCCAACTGTTTACAATCGAGGAGGAAAGAAGTATTAGAGAAACGTGTCTACAGAACACAGCCCCGCTCAGCCAGGGGCAACTTCCTGTTGCTTATCCGAGGTGCTCCATATAGACTTTTCTCCTTGAACTCAAATTCTGTGCTCAGATACTTAGTTTTATCTAAAGACATGGACATATGAATTTAGCTGAAAGAGTACAGGAGCGGGGGCTTGAGTTCTGGACTGTCACTTTATTGGAGGGGAAAAAAAATTACCAAGACCAGGCTTTTACGTTCATGTTTTCATTGTCGTTGCTTGGTATATTAGCCAAAAGCCATACGCTCAATTCATTTGAAATTTGTTTAGCTGGGCATCTGTGCAGCGATTATTTTTGAATAGTCGTAATTTCCAATTGTGTGTCCTTGACAAGTTGTACTGTAACAGAGGTTTAGAGCTGCCATTTTAAGAGAATGACCAGATGACCTGTGCTATTTTGTGCTCGTTGGGAACTAAAATTCATACTGTTCTCCTTGGAGGCGGAAGTGAACAACCGTCTCACTACGGTTAGTGCTTTTCTCGTGTATAATCTAAAATTACTGGAGTGGGCTGGAGCACTGCAGGTAGGACGTTTGCCTTGCACGCGGCCGACCTGGGTTCGATTCCCAGCATCCCATAGGGTCCCCCGAGCACCACCAGCAGTAATTCCTGAGTGCAGAGCCAGGAGTAACCCCTGAGCATCGCCGGGTGTGACCCCAAAAAAAGCAAATAAATTTAAAAATAAAATGACTGGAGTATTAAAACACGGGATCAGGACGGCCAAGACTCCATTGTTGGCCATCAACAATGTTGCCTCAGGAAACTCCCGCTAAGTGTGTCCTGGTGAGCAGGTGGCATCTAGCCTCCTTGCATATAACGCCTCAAAGCTCTTCATGTCCTTCAACAAGTGCTGTCTGGTAGATACAAAATGTGAGCCCTAGAGCGATTGTCACTTCCCAGGAGGAACAATCCAGGAGGGTAAAAAGTGGACCGCTGGAGAGAGAGAGAACACAGGGGGCCAGGCATGTGCCCTGAATGCTGAAGGCCTGAGATGGGCCCTGCCACCACTGGGCGCTCCCCCAAAATGCACACGGAAAGCAGAAGGGCCCTGCGGGGAGCTTAGGGAACTGGACTCCGCTTGGCCTGCAGGAGACCCCAATTTGATCCCTGGAATTACGGGATCAAGGGTGACCCCTCCCCCCAGCTAGACCTGAGCCAGGAGTAACCGGCGGCCCCCCTCCCCACCCGCTGCCCCCCCCCAAAAAAAAAATCACAAAATGTGAGCTGCCGTAGTTCGGGTCAGGAAGAAAAAAATCTTAGGAAACACAGATATTTTGGTCCAGACCAGGATGCCTCAATCCCCTAGTGTCAGATTTATCACGTCACCAGTATAAAAAGTTGATTTACAAGTCATTTTGCCCTTTTTGTGGATTTTTTTTTGGGGGGGGAGGGGGTGGAGTTTTGTTACTTTCTCGGTGGTGATCCCAGGGCCTTCCTCCTGCGAGGAAAGTGTCCCACTGCCGGGCCCCGTGTGTGTGCGCGCGCGCGCACACGCACACACACACACACACACCCGCCGCCGCCAGCCCCCCAGTTCCCGGGAGAGCCCAATCAGCCCCTTCTTTCTTCTCAGGAGCCATGTCCGGGCAGCGGTGACTGCTGGACAGTGAAATTCTCGAACTGTTGGCTGAAAGGCTTTTGCTTTTCGTTTTCTTTTCTGCACTTGTCCTTTGACTGCCCAGGTCTTTTGTATGCAGGAACTCTGCCTGGTCCCCAGCGCACTGCCGGGGGGCAGGGGAGGGATGAAGGGGGGCGTGCACCAGGCCTGCACCCCTCCCCCAGCTCGAACTTGAAGTCACCTGGAAGCACACTCCAGGCCTGCCCACAACCCGCACCCCCAAAGGATAGTCAGACACAGAAAGCTGATGAACATGGACTCTTTAAAGGATGCTTGGCAGGAGCTGGAGAGATTGGACGGCGCGGAGGGCATTTGCCTTGCACGCAGTCAACCCGGGTTTGATTCCCAGTTATCCTTCTAAAAAAAGGATGCTTGTTTTAGAGAAAATAGGGGTGGGGGGAAATGTTTTGATTACAGAAAGGACCTTGTGTATTATTTTGTACAGACAAGCTGTTTCTCATCATTCCAAAAGTGTATTTTTTGAGGGTGGGGTGCACAGCCGCCCCACCACCCACCCCCAGGATGATCAGAGGACCAGACGTGCCAGGATGGTATCTGGGCTCTGGTGCCGAACATACCCTTGTGGCCCTCTGAACTGCCCCCTTCCCCCCACACACACACCTCAAACGCCTTCGGCTGCATCGTCGTAGTGGTACCCTTTTTCATCAGGCTCTAAGTTTTATTTGAGGCCCAGTGGGGTTTGGTTTGAATCCCCGTGGACACGGGATTTCACACACAACACGGTCTATCGCCATGTCCTCCACCAGACCGTCCACTCCCTTCCACCATGATCTCTGTATTATGTCCACCCCCACCACACACACACACACACACACACACACACACACAGAGTAACCCCCAGTGTACTGTCTCTCCCAGTATGGGTCCAGTGCCCAGACATTCTTTTTTTTTTTCTTTTTGGGTCACACCCGGTGATGCACAGGGTTTACTCCTGGCTCATGCACTCAGGAATTACTCCTGGCGGTGCTCAGGGATCCCTATGGGCTGCTGGGAATCGAACCCGGGTCGGCCGCGTGCAAGGCAAACGCCCTCCTGCCCTCCCGCTGTGCTCTTGCTCCAGCCCCATGTCCAGACATTCTTGAGGTGTTTGGTTTGGGGGGCCACACCCAAATGCCTGGCTTCTGCCTTCTCCTCACTCAGGAATTCCTCCAGGCGGGCGGACCCACGGGGGATGCAGGGGATAGGTCTGGGTTTGAGGCGGTGTACGAGCCAGCTCCTTCCCGTGGCACTGTCGCTCAGACCTCCTTTGTCCTGACACTCTTGGAAGTGAGTCCCAAAATGAATTTTTATCATCATGTAAACAGATTGGAGGACTGTACTGCTTAAATGTCATCTACCTTAAACTGATCAAACTCCCAGATGCCAGTGTTAACAGGATCTGACAAAAACCACCCTTGCTTCTTTGACATCTATGCAAATAGTAGGATCTTGGGGGAGGGGGGGTTAGGGGGTGGCGGTTTGGGTCACACCCAGCTCTGCTTGAGGAAACTGATGGTGCTGGGGATTGAACCAGGGTCGGCTGCATGCCAGACAAGCACCCTAACCCACCCTCTCCTCCCCCCCTTGTTCTTTCTCTCCCTCCTGATTTATAATCTTTGGGTTTCCGTTTTCATTCTTAAAATCCACCTAATAACATTCTCCTGTTCAATTTGTTCAGAGCTTAATAAAGAGCACAAGTTCTGGAACGTTCCATCACCACCTCGATCATTCCTCTCACCTCCCACTCTCCCCCCCCCAAAAAAAAAACCTTGCCTTCGATAAACAGAGACAGGTAAACCAACAGCTTTTGGGTTCTCTACCCAGCCGTTTCTCCAAAGACAAGGTATCAGTAGACTGGCTTCCCCCGTGGATGTGCTCTGATCCGGCCGTTAAAGGCCAGTGGTGCCTTTGCCAGCAGCAGCCGTGGCATCGGACACTTGCTTCAAGAGATGCAGATTGAAGCTGGAGCGATAGCACAGCAGGTAGGGCATTTGCTTTGCACATGGCTGATCTGGGTTTGATCCCCAGCATTCCCTAGGGTCCCCCAAGCACCTCCAGGAGTCATTCCTGAGTGTAGAGCCAGGAGGAACCCCTGAGCATCACCGGGTGTGACACAAAAAGCAAAAAAAAAAAAAAAAGAAAAGAGATGCAGATTACTTGCCAAATATGGGACCCTGTAAATTCCTGCCTTCCTCACCGACATGTGCAAGTGTGAACGCAGTCGTTAAGTACCAACTCCCGAAAGCCCATTTCTGTACGCACGGAGATGGAGCCGAAAGGGAGAAAGTTCTCGTCCCCCGTCCCCAGCGCCCAGTGCCCAGCAGTTCTCTTGCCTTCTCAGAGTGTCTCCCCAACCTCCTGCCTGGCCGGCTAAAGGTCGCACCCTCAGACGGGAAGCTCGGTGCCACCAGTCGTTTACATGCTATTCCGATCTTACTCTGGTCTGCCAAGAAATGTCAGGGATGGCCCAAGATGTCTCAATGTGCTTCTACGTAACAGCAGAGGAAGTCAGTCAGCCAAAGCACTTTCATAATAGGATAATCTCACTCAAAAGTGTGTTTTATAGAGCCCTCCCCCATTTTAATCCTGCAGAAGAATGTAGTTTGCTTACATTTTCTTTAGAACCTGGTAATAATCAGCAAAGACCCCCCTCTTAATAATCAGCAAAGACCCCCATACCCCGCCCCTGACAAAAGTGCTTTCCTTCTTAGTTTTTTTTTTTGCTTTTTTTGGGGTCACACCCAGCAATGCTCAGGGGTCACTCTTGGCTCTGCACTCAGGAATTACTCCTGGCGGTGCACGGGGGGACCATATGGGATGCCAGGGATCGAACCCGGGTCGGCAAGGCAAACGCCCTCCCCACTGTGCTATTGCTCCGGCCTGCTTTCCTTCTTTCAAGTATTTTCGTAAACAGTCCCGCTTGAAATCAAAATGACACAAAAGCTCCATCCTCCTCTTTCCTTGAGTCTAGAGAGATTTGAAGCCCATTTCCGTTGTCGGAAAGTTCCTTGTTCCTCCCGACAGTCCCCATCGAGTCGGTCTCCGGCTTTGCTTGGCCTCTTCGGATTTTCTTTTCTCCTTCATTTGTGCAAAACGAGAGGTTCGGTTGGCAGGACGTGACTCAGGGACCATCCATCAGGTTCTGAGAGAAGCGGATGTTGGAGTCGGGGGGCCGTGCGTGGCGTGACTCACAGTGGGTCCAGCTATTTTGGCATCTTGCTTCGACGTTCAATTTATTTGTAGATATTGATTGCTATGGGATTTGGATTCTCCCCAAATCAAACGGACATTTCTATGAAGAATGCCTCGAATGGCCGAGGAGATGCACTTGTGAGAAAGAATGAATGAAGGGTTTCCTAGTACATCCATGTGTAGATAATGATGTGTCCTTTATTTGGGGGGAGGGGGGCACTTCCAGGGATAGAAGCTGGACCACCCACAGGCTGAGCACACGCACGGCTCCCAGAGGTTGGTCCTTGATTTAACAGCTGGGTCGTGAAAAATACTGGCTAGTACTTCCGTGGTGTGTGTTTCCGGATGCGTTTGGGACGTTATCGCCAACTTTCCCATGGTGCGGAAGGAACACCCTACTTAATTAGGAGTTAGGAGCCGTGCCACTAAACATGCTACTGAATTAGTATGATCCAAGGGAGCCCGAGAGCATCCTCTGAAACAAGACTCAACTGGGTATGGGCCAAAGACAAAAGACTTTGTTTTTTTTTTTTAGATTTTTTTGTTGTTGTTGGGGGTAGGGGGATGGGCAGGGGCACACCTAGCTGTGCTCAGGACTTAACCTTAATTTGTGCTTAGATGAGCCACATTACATGGTGCCAAGGATAGAAATGGGGCAAGAGCCTTAACCCCTATCCTATCTCTGAGGCTCGTGTTGGGTATTTACACACACACACACACACACACACAC